ATTTGTCATATTTGGCTTGGTTTGTGCAAGAGTTTGACTTTCTTCTTCCGTGATCTCAAGTTCGTTGTGTGTGCGTGCAACGCTTCCGCATAGGCGCGCGACAAATGCCGCTGAATATCAGAGTTTGATGCGGTTCTGGATATGCGGTGAACAATTGATTCCATGAAAAATTCCTCGAGCCGATCCATTTGTTTCAGATGGCCTATATTTTAGCCCTAATGCTTCAGAGAGCAACTCTAACAGAAAGTTTCCTAGAGTGTGGACGTGATGTGTGTATTCCATAATTACTTCCAAGCGTACGTTAAGCAAGATAATGAATAAAATGTTATAGAAGGCGCTCATCTAAGTTGTAAGGGTTATTTAGATATTAGTCCCTCAAGTCTTCAATGATCCCATACATATTAATCCATCTAATCTTAAAACGTCTTGCAATTTGGTCCGTCAATGACCAAAATACTTCCCAGCTAACGGTTTTTTTTCCTTTTGCCATAAAGGGTTTGGGAGAAAACATAAATTGATATATATATATATATACCAAAAATATCATAATAAATACATATATATCACGTCATATATACCTCTCCACCACCATGAACTTCATGCTCGTCAAACGCCAACTTAAAGATAGCTATGAATATCGACTCGGGAAGAATCTCAGTCAACGACGGACAATCACTGAGGCGCTACACAACAATAATAAATAACATATCCTTGAAGATAAATTCAACAGAGAATTCAAGAAACATTTAACCAAGAAGCTGATTGTGTTTTGATTATCAAACGTTAAAGTAAGGACCAAGTAACTGGTTAGAGAACTACTTGTGTAAAAGAAGTGTAAACGTGAATGGCATAATAACTGCAATGGATGGAGGAGTTGTGTTAAACAAGTAAAAGAACTTAAAATATGTATCAACTTGGCTATGGCCTGTCCTAAAAAATAAAAAAAACATACCTACTGCCCCTGATCCTGGGCTCTGAGCAGCCATGTAAGCAAACCCAACATCTGGAAACAACCCAATTCCATTTTCTGGCATGGCTAGAAGAGTTTTCAGGACAGCTATTTATTTCTTAAAAACCATCGCGTTAACTCTCAAGGAATCTTAGGGCTTTTCTAAAGCAATAAAAACCCACTAATTATTTTCATGCTCTATCTGGACAGATTGCATATTCATACAATAAAGAATAAACATATAAGCAACTAGTTCTAAAAATTCAGGTGAAATGTTCGGCAATTCAAGCTATGGATTTCATTAGAAGTTATGGTTTTTATAGAATATGAAAACCCTAATCTTATTCATGAGATAACATGGGCTTATATAGGCCCCTACAACTTACAAATAAGTCCCTAAACCTATTAATATTTCAACACTCCTCCTCAAGATGGGCGAAAGATATTTACTAAGCTCATCTTGTCACATCCTCTAATCATATCTACTGAGCTAAGTCCCTTAGTCAGACAATCTGCTGCCTGATCCTTAGTTGGAACATGACTTAACTCCAGTAGTCCATTGTCCAACTTCTCTTTGATGAAGAACCTATCGATCTCGATGTGTTTGGTTCTATCATGCTGCACTGGGTTGTTGGCGATACTGATGGCTGACTTGTTATCACACCACAGCTTCATCTTGGCTCCTTGATCCAGCTTCAGCTCCACCAACATACTCTTTAACCACAACAACACTGTAACTCCTAAGGCCATGGCTCTATACTCTGCTTCAGCTGTTGATCTCGCTACCACCGATTGCTTCTTGCTCTTCCACGAGACCAAGTTGCCTCCTACAAAGATACAATATCCTGAGGTGGATCTCCTGTCATCAGCACAGCTAGCCCAATCAGAGTCGCAATAACCCTCGATGTTCACATGTCCATTCTTCCTGAATATCAGTCCCTTCCCGGGGGCACTCTTTAAATATCTCAGAATCTGGTACACAGCGTCCATATGACCCACTCACCATGCTCACTGCAAAAGAGATATCAGGACGTGTGTGACTCAAATAGATCAATCTTCCCACCAGCCTCTGGTATCTGTCACGATCAACTGGTTCTCCGGCCTCAGCACCTAGCTTGAACTTCTGGTCGATCGGTGTAGTTGCAGGTTTGCACCCTAACATTCCTATCTCTTTGAGAAGATCCAGTGCATACTTGCTAATCTAATCCGATTTAAGTGCCAATTAAAATTAATTAACAAGTATATTCTTGCAAGATAGATATACAAGAGTTATGTGCAAGAATAAGCAATATGAACAAAGGTAAATATCCTAGCAATGATATATACTATGAGATATATGCAAGGATATATGAGCTAACACAAGATGATATATCCTATCAAAGAGATATACAATATGATATATGTATAGGATATGTAAACTGACACAAGGGGTAAACAATCTAAACAAGATAGTGGATGATATAGATAATGAGCTAATGACAATGGCGATATAAGATATGAACATAAATATGAATGAACGCCAAAGCACACTCAAACAAGCAATATGATCACGGAGTTCGGACCTTCCGTCCTACGTCTCCGCTCCCCACTCCCGGGGAGAAATCCACTAACACAATCCGGTTTGGAAGCCGGAACTTCTTCTACACACTCGGTTTTCTAGCTAACCGAAAACTCTACAACTCACACTCTTGCAATCACACTCTACACCCACTAAGTGTTGGACCTAGCCGTGTCTCCCTCAAGTGCTCGGTTACAACCTCTCCCTAGGCACGTCAACCGACGCCACTCCTCTTGGGACGATCCCCGACTCTCACCACACACTCCTCACTCGGTGTACAAGTGTATTACAAAGTGATTCTCACAATAAGCACAAATATGACAAATGATTGTTCTCAAAACAAGGTGAGAACTCAATTAAGCTCACTCTCAATGTCACAAACCCACAACCCTAAATTATACTATGAATGTAAATACAATAAGCTCAAAAGGTTGTGTGTGAACAAAGAGATATAAATCAAAACTAAACTCAATGTAGTTCTAGCTTAATAACAATGATAATCAAATATATAAAAAAGCTAGAAATAGAGTTTAGAAAACTTCTCAATATATCAAGAGTTGGAGGGAGAATAGTTGAATGCCCAAACACCAATAGATGATCTCCTCAAGCTCTTGTAGAATTGAATCACAAAACCGAAACACTCAAATGCTTAAAAGCTTCTTAAAACAAACTTAAACAAACACTAAACAAGTTTAAACCCTTGTTAAAATCTTTTAAACCATTCTCTTGTTAGAGAGGGAGAGGTAAATGCAATGAGGTATTTATAACAACCCAAGACATCAGCCAAAACCCCAAGGAAATGACCAAAAACCCAAAAACAAACAAAACAGAAAACTAGCCGTTACTGTGCAACGGCTCTCTGATAAGTCGACTTAGAGTCGACTTATGACATATACAGTTTTTGGCAGATGCTGAAAATTATGCGTATCTGGATTTGTAAAATCAGTTAAAAATAGTAAATCAACTCTAAACATTATGAAATTTTGAGGGATGTTTCTAAACATGTAAATAAACATTTTACAAAAATAATTTCTGAAATATCACTTCTCATTTGTGAGAAATGAATATTTGAATACAGATATTTCAGATTCTAAAAACTGCTGAAACACCCGATTTTCTAAAATCAATTTGACACAGTAAATTAACTCCAAAAATTATAAAATTTTTAGGGAAGCTTCTAAACGTGTATATGAACATGTTAGAGAAGGAATTTCTTAAATATCACTTCCCATTTGAGAGAAATAATTTATTTTGTAAACTGGTCAAAAATACATAACTGTGCAACACTTCATAAGTAGACTTATAAAAAGTTATAAGTCGACTTATATAAGTCGACTTGCCTTGCTTTATAAGTCGACTTAGCAGAGGAGAAAATGCACTTTCTAGAGGAGTTCATAAGTCGACTTGTCAGGGTTTATAAGTCGACTTATAAACATGCACAGGCACTGTTCATGCTGGAAAACTGATTTTTAAAGTGCCTTTAAAAATAACAAATAAATTCCAAAAATTATGAAACTTTGGAAAATGTTTATAAACATGATAATAAACATGTTACAAAAAGAATTTTTGGAATTGCATTCCCCAATAGTGAAAACCCATCATTTTTCAAATATGTCCAAAAACATGAAAACGAAACATACATGTTTTGACATTTGATTTAAACAAACTTTTGAAACTCTACAAAATGATTTTATAAACTTTATAAACTATGTATAAACTGATATTAAAGTCTATAAACTAATAAAATAATGTTTTCACAAAAACACCTATATTTTGATAAAATCAACAAATACGTGTGTGTGAATAATATGAGCTTAAAGTATCAACACACAAGTATAAAAACCTAAACTAAATATACCCAAGCTTGTGATCTTCAACGAAGCTCTATCTTGGTACACTTGCGGATGAAGCTAAAACTTGGATCTTGAACTTGAATGCAATACTTCACTCCACTATTCCGCCAACCTCCTCTTGATATGATCGTGTAGGCTCAATCCATCCAACCTCCAACAACGTTGTTTGTCTATAATAAATAAGAAAACACAAATACTAGACAAACAACATTAGTGGTAAATTGTTTGTTAAACATCATCAAAACAAGAAGGCCAACAATCTCCCCCTTTTTGATGATGACAAACAATTTACAAAAAGAAATATATGCATGAAGAAAATAAATATATAATTTATAATTCACATGCATATAAACAAGAAAGAATATACTCACAATATTTCTCCCCCTTTGACAACATCAAAAAGGGGACAAAAAGAATAAGAGAGCGAAAGCTCCCCCTATCAATAAGCATGGGTGAGTACAAAGCAAATATAGGGATGAGGATTTCTCCCCCTATCAAAATGCCATATAGAAGATATATGAAATAAAGATCATGGCAAACATATGTGAGCAAGCATAGATGAAAAATATGCTAAACACCACTCACATACAAAAGGACAATGAGAACACATATAAATATGTTAATATGAAAGAAGTGTCTCATTAACACAAAAAGTATAAAAACCATATAAATGAATAGATTTATGAAATCAAAAGAAGAGGAACATGAGATTCATGTAAAAAGTTTTCAAATGAAAACAAATAAACCAATTGAAATCATAAATCAAAGTTTAAATCATGAAACCAAATCATCATTGATTTTCAAAAATCAAGAGAGGCAACTATATATAGCTCTTGAGCTAGTATCAACCCATATGAACATTTTTAGCACCCGGTAAACAATGTTTGGGAATAAACACCCAATAAATCCGGAGGGTTATATAAACGTAGTCCTCTCATGAAAGCAAATCAAATAATCATGAAAACAAAAGATTTTAACCAATAAAAGGAATTGTTTTCATAAAAGTTTAAAATACATTTTTCAAAACCAAGAAAAAGAAAAATAAAAGTACTAAAATTCTTGGCTTAAAAATTATTTT